TAAAAATACAAAAAATGCTGGGCGTGGTGGTGAGCACCTGTAGTCCCGGTAACTTGAGAGGCTAAGGCAGGAGAATCGTTTGAACCCGGGAGACAGCTGTTGCGATGGGCAGAGACTGTGCTACTGTACTCCAGCCTAGGTTAAAGAGCGAGGGACTGCCTCAAAAAAAAAAAAAAAAAAAAAAATAAAATTAATTTCACCCATTTCCTCTTACATTTTAGGGGGTTAATAGAACACTGAAAATTACAATGTGGCTTGCGTTTTTGGTTTCCATTGTATTTTTTTGTACTGGACAGAGCTAGTTTAGAATGATGTCACACTGATCTGAAAAAAAAAAAGCCGATGATATCCATCCCATTTAAAGGAAGTTCCTCAGTGGTTTTTCAACCTAAATTAAACAAACAAACAAAACAACACTTAAACTTCTTAATTTGGCATAAAGAGCATGGCTGATCTATACTCAAGTTTATCTTTCTAGATAGATTTATCTGCACTATATTCACTGCCAGGTACTGTACCATTCTGTCACGTTGTACTGCTTACTGTTCTTGAAACATAGCATGTATTTATGTCTTAGACATATATGTTTCTTCTGCAGGGAATGCCGCCTATCTCTAATTAGCTCATTTTTTAAGGCCCTATTCAATTCCTTGTGGCAGAACTCATGATTCTTCTCTTGAGCTATCATAGACATTAACTCTGTTATATATGAACTCTACTGTAGGCATCTTTCTTGTGTAACTTGCCTTATAAAAAATAAAATGAGGCCGGGTACAGTGGCTTATGTCTGTAATCCCAGCACTTTGGGAGGCCAGGGCAGGAAGATTGCTTGAGCCCAGAAGTTCAAAACCAGCTTCGCCAACACAGTGAGACTCTGTCTAAAAAAAAAAAAAAAAAAATTTAAAAATCCAAAGGAAAAACGAATTACCTAATACAAAGAGTAGCAAATGGCACATCACACTACAGCTTGTTGCTTTTTTTATTTTTATTTTTTGTAGTTGGACTCTTACTCTGTCGCCAGGCAGTGGTGCAATCTTGGCTCACTGCAATCTTGGCCTCCTGGGTTCAAGTGATTTTCCTGCCTCAGCCTCCCGACTAGCTGGGACTATAGGCACAAGCACCACTAATCCCAGCTAATTTTTATATTTTAGTAGAGATGGGTTTCACCATGTTGCCTAGGATGGTCTTGATCTCTTGACCTCTTGATTCAACCACCTCGGCTTCCCAAAGTGCTGGGATTACAGGCATGAGCCATAGCGCCCAGCCAGTTTGTTGCTTTGAAGACTATCACTAATACTGTTCCTTTGCCAGACTGTCATGTTTTTGCACCTGGTCTTGTTTAGGATTTTCAATGACTAGCTAGCAGAAAACCTGGCACATAGCAAATGCTCACTAAATAACTGCTTAAGGAGAAATTAATTTCCAATAACTCACAAATAAAACCATATTTGACTCTTACATAACTATCATTTTAAAGCTTTTTGTTATAAGGATAAATAAATACCATGACAGCAATTCTGGTCTTTATCTTATGGAAAAAGGGACAAAAACACATATTTTATATTAAACAAAGCACAAAATTTTCTGAGGGTAGAATATCCAACTATCTAACTTCTTCCTATATTCTACTGCTATTTTGATCTAGATTCGAAGTTATATACTGGCAGCTTGTTGGTAAAACCTGGCCTGCAAGTGTATTTGTATGGCCTTTCTAGTATTACAAAAAAATGTGAATTTGTTGTCACTGTTTTAATATCAGGATACTACACATAAAAATTTGGATTTCCTGCTTTTCCTGAGTGTGTGTGAAAACCGAAGAATCGCAACATCAGACCCACATTCTCATGAAGAAACAATCAGAACTGAATGACAGATGTCACTTATGGCAAAGAATGTGCTTTCCAGGTTATCTCCTTTATTTTCTTATCAGCCCTCAGGATGCGTGGTAGTTGCCAGTAATCACGGACATACTATTGTTTTTCTTCCAAACATCTTGCTTTACTCATTTACTTTAGAGGGTGGTTCCTATGACCATTTCAGTTTCTAACCCTAGTCTAAAATGAAAAAGTACTGGTGTTCTGATTTGTATTTTCTGGCCACTTCTGAAATTCATTTTCCAATACACTCCTACCCCATGAAGAATGACTGAAACTACTGACATAAAATTCTATCTGCAGGGTAACTAGTAAGAATTCAGGGGCAGGGTGACAGCAAGCTTCTTTTTAGGTCAGAAACATTACATGTTAATCATACAGCTTCAAGTAATCAGAGAAACAGTCCCACATACATCTCTGCCCACCAGACCCAGACTAGATGACCACCATGGCAGATCTTATTCAGAGATCTGTAACATCAGGGTGAATATTACAGCCTGGTTTTCTAGAGCACTAGTCTCCAAATTAGACTGGAGTAACCAATTAACTGGTACACAAGAATATATAAACTTCTATTTTTATCTACTTTTAGACTTAACGAATTGAAGGTTTATGGCAATTAATATACCACTGAAACTGACGCTGGGAGTGGACATCAGAAGGTCGCATGTCAGTCAGTATAGCATGCTGGGTATCCTGAAGGTCAAGGGAATCTCATACACAGAAGGACAGACAGTGATAACCTCATTTATTTCACTTTTAGTGGTCATGCATTACAATGTGAGTGGGCCTGGGTTTATGAAATAAATTGTCTCGTTTTAACCAAAATAACCTTCATAAAATCGACCTGTGGGTTTAATATGTCTTCAAAGAAATGATAGATTGGTAACATACACACATGTATAAAAAAGGAAAATGGAAGCATTCATATTCTCTATATACTCTATAACTATATTCATCAGCCTCATTACAATGTAAAAACATACTACTTAATCAGATCACAAGAAGGTGGCAAAACAATGAGAAATTATCAGAATAGTGTCTGAAATAATACTGATTCAAAATACTAGGATTTAAAGATATAAACAAAATTTGCACTGAATATATAACATACCTTAAGATGCTAACTGACATGGTAAAACATGCATCTAACTTTTAGATGGCTGTGTCCATAAAATTTTGCACTAATAGGAGTTCATGATTAAAAAAAAGACTCTGGAGGCTGGGTGCAGTGGCTCATCTCAGCATTTTGGGAGGCCAAGGCAGGAGGATCACTTGAGCTCAGGAGTTCCATACTGGCCTGGGTGACATGGTGGACTCTGTCTCTAAAAAAAAATAAAAGTAGCTGGGTGTGGTGGTGTGCACCTGTAGTCCCAGCTACCCAGGAAGCTGAAGTGGGAGGAAGGCTTGAGCCTGGGGAAGTCAAGGCTGCAATTAGTTGTGATCCTGCCACTGCACTGCAGCCTGGGTGACAGAGTGAGACCCTGTCTCGAAATAAATAAATACATAAATAAAATTTAAAAATAGTTTGGAGACCTAACTCCTATTGCTAGGCCATACTCATTCTGAGGATTCTACTAGAGAATACAAGTATTCACCTGGTTTATGAGTGTTGTTTACATGTTTCTAGTTGCAGGATCCTCACTGCTATTTAGTTCCATCATTAATCTGAAATCATCTACTTAAAATCTCTTTCTGTCAAAGGTTTAGTTTACCAAAGTAACATGACTGAAATCTTCAAAAATAGATATAAAAGTATATTATATATGAGTGTTTACATGCAAAACAAATGTATCCTGGTTTTACTAAATCAAATGACCATTCAGTACTTAAAACGAACTATTATAACACATTTACCTTTACAATCAAAAGATTAGATGCCCAAGGTATTGATTTTTTTTTTCAAGATGGAGTTTTGCTCTTGTTGCCAGGCTGGCTTGCAGTGGCATGATCTCGGCTCACTGCAACCTCCGCCTCCCGGGTTCGAGCAATTCTCCTGAGTAGCCTCCTGAGTAGCTGGGATTACAGGCATGTGCCACCACACCCAGCTAATGTTGTATTTTTTGTAGAGACAGGTTGCTCCATGTTGGTCAGGCTGGTCTTCAACTCCCGACCTCAGGTGATCCGCCCACTTTGGCCTCCCAAAGTGCTGGGATTACAGACATGAGCCACTGCGCCCAGCCCAAGGTATTGATTTTTATGAGTCAAATCTGAAATGTTTACTAAAGTTATTAATTTAAAAAAAGTATTGTGTATTGACCAGGCATGGTGGCTCATGCTTGTAATCCCAGCACTTTGGGAGGCTTAAGTGGGTGGATCATGAGGACAGGAGTTTGAGACCATCCTGGCCAACATGGTGAAACCCTGTCTCTACTAAAAATACAAAAATTAGCTGGGCATGGTGGCTTGCATCTGTTGTCCCAGCTATTTGGGAGGCAGAGGTTGCAGTAAGCCAAGATAAGGCCACTGCACTCCAGCCTGGTGACAGAGTGAGACTGTATTAAAAAAAAAAAGTATTGTTTTTGATGCTGATATTTCAGTTTATTTCCACTGGGCAAAAAGTCAGTTGAAAAGTGCTTCAATTTCACTCTATTTCCCTTTGCTTCTAATGTACAATAGTAGAAAACTCTAAATAGCCTGCCAAGATAATTCTATAACCTTTAAAAATCTGTACTATGGCCAAGTGCGGCATGGCTCACGCCTGTAATCCCAGCACTTTGGGAGGCTGAGGTGGATGGATTGTCTGAGGTCAGGAGTTTGAAACCAGCCTGGCTAACATGGTGAAACCCTGCCTCTACTAAAATCACAAAAATTAGCCAGGCGAGATGGTGGATACCTGTAGTTACAGCTACTCGGGAGGCTGAGGCAGGAAAATCGCTGGAACCTGGGAGTTCCAGCACTCCAGACTGGGCAGCAGAGAGAGTCTCTGTCTCTAAATAAATAAATACCATTTTCCAATTGCTCTACTATTTTCATGTCTTTTAGAGTGAATCAGTATACAGATTGTTGATCTGGCTGGCTGTCACTTTGTGGAAAACTGATAGTGTTTGTTGCCACTGATATAATTTGAGTTTTTAAGTAAAAGTTAAGTTTTCTTCATGTGTTTTAGAATGTTTGATGTAGGCTCAACTTGACTGTCCCCTCCTGCTTCTATCCCTGTCTAGCGGACTTATGGTCATGGTCATTTCTGCTTGGCCTTCTGAGTCCCCTAGTCCACAAACACCACACCTTATGAAGGAACCCCCAAACCACCAACAGAAGTGAATTCAAGTCATCACAGATCTAGACCTTAAGCCTGCAAGTAGATTGGTCCAGGTCTTGAGTGGCTATATATATATCTTTATTTCTACACTTTTTTTTTTGAGATGGAGTCTCACTCTGTCACCCAGGCTGGAGTGCAGTGGTGCCATCTCGACTCACTGCAATGTCCACCTCCCGGGTTCTATTTCTACACTTTTAAGTACTCAGCTCTAAGTCAGTCATAAATTCAGAGAGTCGATTCAACTTTCTCCAGATTTATTAATAGTTAGCAAATTTGGGAATAGTCCTTCTCCCTGCCATATTTTCTGTTCTGTTTCTGGTCCCCAGTGGTGTTTACCTCATCAACTCTTTTTTTTTTTTTTTTTTTTTTGAGACGGAGTTTCACTCATGTTACCCAGGCTGGAGTGCAATGGCGCGATCTTGGCTCACCGCAACCTCTGCCTCCTGGGTTCAGGCAATTCTCCTGCCTCAGCCTCCTGAGTAGCTGGGATTACAGGCACGCACCACCATGCCCAGCTAATTTTTTGTATTTTTAGTAGAGACGGGGTTTCACCATATTGACCAGGATGGTCTCGATCTCTTGACCTCGTGATCCACCCGCCTCGGCCTCCCAAAGTGCTGGGATTACAGGCTTGAGCCACCGCGCCCGGCACCTCATCAACTCTTAATGTGTGGTCTGTGGACCCCTGAAAGCTCCCAAGGCTCTTTCAGGAGTTCGTGAAGGTAAAACATTTTCATAACAATACTAAGACATTATTTGCCTTTTACACTGTGTTGACATTTGTACTGATGAAGCAGATACACTGGTAGGGAAAACTGCTGGGCTTGGTAAGAATCAGCAAGAACACCAAACTCTATTTCATTGCCACACACTTGCAGTTAAAAAAAAAAACAGAACAAAAAACACACACCAGTTTTACTTAAGAATGTCTGAGGAGGCTGGGCGCAGTGGCACACGCCTGTAATCCCAGCACTTTGGGAGGCTGAGGCAGGTGGATCATGAGGTCAGGAGATCGAGACCATCCTGCCAGCATGGTGAAACCCCGGCTCTACTAAAAATACAAAAACTAACCGGGTGTGGTGGTGCAGGTCAGTAATCCCAGCTACTTGGGGAGGCTGAGGCAGAACTGCTTGAACCTGGGAGGCAGGGGTTGCAGTGAGCAGAGATCGTGTCACCGCACTCCAGCCTGGTGACAGAGCGAGACTCCATCTCAAAAAAAAAAAAAAAAGAACATCTGATGAAGCAGTAAAAATTTTATTAAACTTTGACCCTTATATTCTCTTAATAGTATGATAAAATGGGACATGCAAATAGAGAATTTTGTTGCATACCAAATACAATGGTTGTCTCCAGAGAAAGCATTTAAGCAACTGAGTTGTAAGCTGAACTAGCCCCGCTTTTTTTCGCTAACCACCAAATTTCTCCGATCTTCACAGTCAAATAGCTGTTTATGCTCATTGTCTTCACTTTATTATCACACATTCATTCGGCCTACTACAATCTGGCTTTTTCATTTTACTGAAACTGCTCTTGCTAAAGCCATCAATGGTCTGATTAGTAAAAGCAAGGGACACATTTTAGTCCTTATTTTACTTAACCATTTTGCAACTAATGTTTTGGGGCTCTCTTTTCTTGAAATTCTAATAGTGATGCCAAAGCATTATTTCTCTCCATTTCCTAACCATTCCTTCTCTCCTCTGCAGGCAGATAGCTGCTGAATCTGCAGCCCAAACATATTTTAAATTCTCGGTCCATATATACAACTGTATCCTATAGGATACCTCCAAAAGATCTAAAGAGACCACAAACTCAATCCATCCAAGTCCTTATTTGACCTTCCACAAAAATCTGCTCCTCCTACTCTTAATGACATACCTTGAATAAGATGCTAATGGCAACCAAGTCAGAAAGACCGCAGTCATCTTAGGGTCCTCCCTCTTCTTTACCTTCCAAATATATTCTAATTTGTAAACCCCTTTTGTCAATCCCTTTAGTCCTGCTGAAACTAATTTTAGGCCCTCATAATTCCTCAGTCAACAGATTTCCCTTCCTCCAATTCCGACCTTTCCAATCCATCCTCTACACTGCTAATAAAATGAACATTTCTAAAAGGCAAATCTAATCATATTATTGACTTGTTTAAAGCTTTAAGTAAGTTCGTATCATCTAAGGCAGGGATTCTGGGCTTGAGTGGAAATGATCCAATAAACACTCCAACATTCTGTACCCTATACATAGGCATTTTCCTAAGGAAAGGGCCCAGATTTCCAAAGATTAACCCTAGAAGCAGCCAAGCTCTTTGAAATCTTCTCAGAATAATCTCAAACCATATTTTCTCACCCAGTATATATTCCCACCAACCCCCAATTACTTTAAGTTCTCACACAGGATTATGCTGCTTCAACATTTCCTAACCCTGAATATAAGATTCCTTCTGCCTAGAAGGCCACTCCCCAAGTAAACCAGTGCCCATCCTTCAAGTGGTCTTTTATCTATGAAGTCCTCCCTAGTACCTACAAGCAAATGTTCTCTTCCTCATTTCATCTACTATTTTTTGCATACACCTTTATTATAGTTTATTACTTGGCATTTTCGTATTTTTTTTCATGCCCTTCATCCTTAATAGATCATGAGGAAAAGACCATGCTTTATTCATCTTGGTATGCTAGTGTGCAGCACGGAGCTGGTATAAAATAGTCACATATTTATCGAATAGATATTTACCACACCATTAACAATGGTTAGCCTTTTCATAAAAGGCTCTCCTGTGTGGTAACAAGCTGTTCAAACTGAAAGTGGTATTTCCGTAAGGCGCTTAAAAAGGGATATTTTTTCAAAATACATCAGAATACGAATTAACTTATCACTAGTGCTTGAAATATTAAGGAAAAAAACTTAAGTCTATAGTTGTTTAAAAACTTGACAAATAATATAAGCACAGATGTAAACAACTGCCTCTTCATTTAAGTGTAAGTCTAAATTGCTAGTTATAAATTTAATTATAATCCTCAGTGAGACTAAATCTACCAGATATAACACTGTCTTAACGTTTATATTTGATAGCCTCGTTGTTGCGATTTTCCTCTTGCAATTTTGAAATGCTTAAATAATGGTTTTTTCCTTATACTTAAATCTGGACTTAGGTTTAAAAAACTCAAAAGTACATATGCGTCTTTAAAGTAGACATTTGTGTGAAGTCATCACCACTTCAGTTTTCAGAAAACACACACAATGTTCAGTGAATGGTGAAACCGCCTTACCCATTGGGCAGTTACAGTGGTCTAAGTAGGAAATCACATTAGGTACCCATTGGAGAAACTGAGTTTCTATGTTGCTTTTAAAAACATCTTCGGTAGGTTATTTAAAACAGGAAATTAGAAGTTCTTCTTCACCACTCTATCACTAAAAGGTGAAAAAGCTATGGATGTAAATGTTGCTGTCTATAAACACAACTTGCCTGTACAAATACGTACTGGGCCCCGAAGCTTGAAAGAAGCCTGCAGTGCCCGGTATATTCACCAACTCCTCCAAGTGACTGATCATTGCCAAGGTCGAATTAATAAGTGTTCCTTGATGTTAATGATTGTGAGTGTTCTCAGGAAAGGACTAAAAGCTGACTTTCTAAGCAGGATGTTGCTTGGAAATACCCAAAACAAACACGATGTCCATTCCTAACGTGTTAGTGAACCGAACTGACTCGATGCGTTTTGTTAAAAGGCCTTTCCTTCGTTTTCCTGGCCCACGGTTTATTTTTTACTATTTTTAACTAGGAGCCCATCTGAAAAACAAGTTAAGAACGGAATGCTCGCCAAATCACCTCTCCAAGACAAAATCGGCTACCCAGGGAGTCGGACCTCGAGTGGGTGCCGGCAGGGACGCAGCCGCTGAGCCTCTCCCAGAGAGCGACGCCGGCCGCCGGGTTCGGTTAGACCGCAGCAGGAAGTTTTCCCTTCCTCTGCGGGAGGCAGTGGGGCCAAGGGGAAATTTGAACTCTCACTCCACGGGGGCACCCAGAGGGGAGCTCCGGCGTGGGAGGGTGGCTCCCCAGGAGCCAGGCGGTCGAGGAACTCGTGATTCGACGCCTGCCGCCGCGTCTCCGCCCCGCGCGGGCCCAGGCCGCGGCCTCCCTGCCCTCCCGACCCTCCCTGACGTCCACTCCCGTCCCGGGGCGGCGGCCTCAAAGGCCGCAGAGCAGTGCTGCGTCCCGGCTCGCAATCCCCAGTCTCCCCGCCGAGGCGCCGCGCAGAGCCGCAGCTGGCTTGGCCGGCACGGGCTGCACTCACCCACTCGAGGACCTTGATGAAGCCGAGCGGCTCCTTGAGCGGGTTGAGGTTGATCTGGAAGCCGGACATCCTCTGAGGGAAGGAGGGAGAGAAAGTCAGAACGACTGGGCGGAGAAGGAGGGACCGACAAGACCCGAGCGGCTGGGCGGCGAGGAAGGGCAGGCGGGGCGCGCGCGCGGGCCGGGCTCAGAGGCGGGCCCGGGCGGCTGCGGGGCGGGGCGGGGCGGAGCGGCGGCGGTTGAGCCGCAGGCTGAGGCGCTGGGGCGGAGACGGAGAGGGGCGGCTGGGGAGGCGAGGGGCGGGCCGGGGCGGGGACAGGGAGGCTCCTCCTCAGGCCGCACCTGGCCGAGTCGACTGATCCGCTGGCGAACCAAGTAGATGTTGGGCGCCATGCTGCTTGCGCCGCGCCCCCTTCCCTGCGGTCCAGCCCTTGGCGCTCGGTCACTCCCTGCGCACGCGTGGGCTCCTCCGGCCCGCGCCGCGCTTCCGGCCCCGCACTGCTGGAGAGCGCCCTGGCCTGGGGGGCGCCTGCGCTTCCTCAGAGAAACCCTCAGTGACCCCGAGCTCACCACAGCTGAGCTCACTACACCCAAGCCGACCTCTCCCTCCCCCGCTTTCCTTCACAGATCCCAACTTTGATATGAATTTATAATATATTGGCACAGATGTAGCCGTGTTTCGAGGCATGTGTTAGGGGCCTTTGATTAAATGGTGGAAAGTTATTAGGAAACAACAGACTTAACGGCGACCGTGCTGTAGGGCACCTGGGAAGTGTGAATCACCAAACCTTCCTACACAAGTTAGGTTGATTTTCAAAGTTATCCTGGCAGCCATGGTTGAAAGATGAAGAAAGGTTATACCTGAAAAAAGAGGCATGGCCGGACAGGCCCTCGGTGACCTCCACTTTCACCTCTTCTACCCGGTCGTTCATCGTTGGTATCTTTCTTCAAGAAGCTGATGCCTTTAAGATTCGGCTTAAGTGATATTTTCCTCCTGGCGCCCAGTTACAGGAGCCCCAAGGTAGTGTGATCTCCTTGCTTGCTTCCTCAATACCTGGAAAGTTCCTGGACAGCTGGAATGTGGCATATTCGTGTATATGAAAAACCAGCTTCCAAGTACTTACCTGAATTTCCAAGCACGAATATGACTTAGCAGGTTACCTGCCGCTGAGGTTATTCCGTCATAGTTGACAGCTGTTATTGAACATCGTGCTAGTAAGCGAACCCTTTCTCTTTCGAGACCAATTTATCTCCTTGTTTGCTGTCTACAGAGTGCAAAGAATACATCTCATTTTCCATGCAGACAGAGACAATCTTATTTTTATTTTTATCTTGGTTCCCGTTCCTCAGTTCCCAGCACGGTCCGTCCTCAGTGAGCACCTAATGGATGGTTGCAGATTTCTCCTACTAAGCAAGAAGGCATCGTAGGTACCCCTTAGGGCTAGGTGAGTGGAAGCTGATCATGCATTGCTAACCGTTGCATCTGATACCACTATGAGCGGTGCTCCCTGTCTTCCAGCTTCCTCTCTCTCTTTCTGCTGTTTCTGTACCTTCCTCTCAGTGCTTATCTTTTTGTCTCTTTAGCCCATTTTTCTAAGCTTTTACTGTCATTCTGTTGAGGCCTTCTGGATAGGCACCTGGGGATGGAATAGTGAATAGCAGGACTATTTAGCTTGAGCTTCATATTCACAAAGATTCAAATTAGACTCTTAAGGCAATTTCAAAATGAGATATACTTTGACAGATTAG